CCAAACTTTGTGAGATAGAAAAAAAGTAGAGCTCACTTTTTCCTAAGGGATTGGACAGCTTTTCTTTTAAACACTTAGCCTTGCTACTGAAAGAGTTTTTGGCACAAGCTAGCCAGGAATTGCGACAGTATTTATAATTTATGATTTCGACAAAACTTTTGTTGCTTGGCAAAAATGGCCAAACAGCCAAACTCTGTGAAATAGAAAAAAGCAGAGCTCACTTTTTCCCTAGTGGATTGGACAGCGTTTCCTTCAAACACCTAGCCTTACTATTGAAAGGGTTCTTAGCACAAGCTAGCCAGGAATTGCGGCGATAAGTTTTTCTTTTTCTCACAAAAAACATGAACTGAACAATCATTGCTAGAGTTCACAGTTTGTGGTACCACTTACCGATAAATTGTTGTGCTGTTTTCCAGTTTAGATAACTGGCACAAAAATTACAATTTTGAAGGGATAATGATTTCTCTGATTTAACAAATCATGAGTTTTCAATGATCAGGTAATCATTTTACGATTGCAACTTTTTTTAACGATAGCCTTGTTCCAACTTGACCACTTGTTTTGCCGTCTATTTCGGATCGGATCGCACTATTGGATTGAATCTTTTGGCTCAACCGGATCGCACGCTCATCTATGGATCATCAATTTTGTTTAAAAATTATTTCAAGATAGCGGCAAAACATTTTCACGGCAGTGCAGGCAATGAGATAATTTTCAGAGCAATTAATTTGACAAGTATGAAATCGATATGTTATATGGATAATTTTTCAGACACAATTTCTAAAAACTTGGGGTTCAGAGACGGGTTTGCAGGTAAAAAACCTGATACACCGCGTCAATCACTAATAAATAGCAAAAAATTTCCGTCAAATTAATGATAACGTCAATGAGTCTTCTGAAACCATTAAAAGTTTTAGATAACGTCGATACTTAGTTGAACAGGAACTGTCCCATCTCCAGTTGAATTCAGACAAAAATGATTTTTACTTAGCTGGTAAAATAGCATAGACTCAATTTTTCATAAGAATACCAAAAAATGAAAACTCATTATCATAGACATAATTAGAAACTTTCAAGGAGCAGTTTCAATCTTTTCAGTACAATTACGTAGTGCCTTTAAACATTCTGATTTTTTCATCCAAAACTTTAATTATTCCCATACAACCTTAAGGGCAATTTTATCACAAAATTTTCAATTTTCATAATTGAGCAGAATCAATGATCAAATTTGGGGGTTCAGAGATGGGTTCGCAGGTAAAAAACCTGATACACCCCGTCAATCACTAATAAAAAACAAAAAACTTCCGTCAAATTAATGATAACGTCAATGAGTTTTCTGAAATCTTTCGATTGCCGAAGTGAATCAAAGATCAAGCAATGTTTTCGTCTAGAATACCTTTAAACTGCATAGAAACATGACAACTCCACAAGTAACCGTCAGAGTCAATCAAATGCAACCAAAAAGAAAAAGTAAAGACATACTTTGTACTGAATACACAAATTGTATTTTACAGAATACAACTAATGCAATAACGATAACCAGATTCAACCATTTTAAGTTCATTTTGAAAGCAGCGCTCCGGAATACAACTAACTTTTGTTTTTTGATTCAAGAATTAAAACGCCGAAAACGAAAACTCAAAAAAATGTCTGTGAAAAATGACAGTGGACGTAGTTGTCGTTCGTACCCATAGTCAAAGTTCTCGAAGTCAGTGCAGACATTTTCTAAAAACGTTACTGGATGTCTAATGGAATTTAATTTGCAGGAAAAACAAACAAAAAGGAAAGATTATATTTTTCTTAGCTAAAATAAAATTGACGTTTTCTCAAACTTGCCCAGTTTCATTTATGTGTAGTGTATGTAAAGCAAGGACCAATTTTTTTCTAAGAAATGGCAAAACAACAACCAAGACATTTTACAGATCCTCGCTTATCAACCGAGGCCGCTCTGAAGTTTGTTCTTCGTTCGTTAGTGATTCGTTTGCATTTGTGGACCCATCGTACTTAAACTCACTTTCATTTATTCATAAATTGCGCTTAATTATCTCTACACCCGACAAGGTCAGTAAAGCATTTGTTCAATCTTGCAGCCACCAAAACGAGAATTATATAAACATAAAACTCAAATCGAATTAAAATTGAAAAAGAATAGCAACATTAATGTCTCTACCAAATTGTATAACTAATTAATTGGTCATATGTCAGAGTACTTGGAAAAAAAATTGGCATTAGTTTTTAACTTTACAATATATTTAACTGAGTTTGGGTGATAATCGACGCTGTGCACCGGTGGTAGATGTTCTGGTAGCGTCTGCTCCATATTATCTCCGAAAAGAACACAAAGTTGGAAAAGGTCTGGGTTGGCGTCCCAAGTTAGTAGCGGGTTATGACTCAGAGCAACCTTCGAAAGTTCCGACACGACAAGTTGCACGACATCTTTACACGTAGCTTTCGAGTTAATCACGACTCGAACCGACGTTCCTCGTGGAAGCCCGCAGTTAAAACGTGGAAAAACTTGCAAAACTATACATTTCGAACTTTGCGGTTTTGAAGACACGTTTGTGATGTTAGATGACAGCTGATTTTGTGACATGTTTCGTAAAGCATTCGAAAGATGCGACTGGCTCCCACTATTCGAAACTCCAGGTACAAAATGTTTCTGGCTTCCGTTTGGCAGGGAGTTTTGGGACTGCGATGTTTTCAGGGCCGAGTTGTCGACGACGTTTGTCGTAGTGTCCAGGAGTGTTTTTAAGTGGATTCCGAGTTTGTTTCTGGCCATCCGGTTCTGCTGGAGGATGTCGAGGAGCCAGCGCATGGAGTGCCAGATGATTTCGGTCTTGTCGGCAACCTCACTCAAGGTCTCCAGTCGTTTTTTGGATCCTCGCATTTCTTCGTCAGTGAAGGCCTGGAAAAATGGTAATTGACATATGACAACCCGCATCTAAGAAAAGTGAAAAGAAATCAATTATAATGGATTTTTGTGTGCTTAAACACTATCAATATAATTGATTCCCAAGCTGCACTCAAAATCATTATTAACTAATTGTTTTCTAACAAAATTTAAAATTAATTACGATCCATTTAAAATCAATTAAAATGGATTTTTATCCCCTTTTTTTTTGTTTCGCGTAGTGCAAAGTTTAGGAAAAAAATACACAAATGAGCAGTTTTGCAGAACAAGTGAAGAGTACGGCGTACTCGACTTCTAAATCTAAACTTAATGACAATAAAATTCAAATTCAATCAATTTTTATCCATGGAACTCCAGTGCGTGTAACGGATGTTTCACATAACTTTACTTGAAATTAAAATTATCACCGGAAACAAGCATTTCAAGCCTCCCTGGGGAAATTATTTTGAGTCGAACCCCAAATTATGCTTTTCTTGCACTCGTAGAAGTTTCATTTTACAAGTATGGGATAAATTAATTAACGGAAAATTCAGGAAAAAATTAATTCAAATATCTCAAAATATGAGAAAATTCTAAAACTTTTAGAAAAAATAATTCAATGGTCTAGGTGGTCAAATCAGGTTACGCTTAAAACTGTTCAACACTTGCTTAAAACTTGTCTTATTTAATGATAAATGAACTGAAACTGACCTCTCTGATTTGGTAGTTGGCAACTAGGGTTAAGTTGTCGACCAGACAGCACAGTCTGCAGTAAGCAGAAGTGATGTAGTGCTGATAGACCATCAGATGAGCTAAAAAAAATACACGATAATCGTTCGTTTCTCGAAAGTCGTGGGAACTGCACGGAAAATGAATAATTTAAAAAATATATTCAGAATACTGGTTTAGCGCAATTAAATTTTATTGCAATTTTTTTGAAAGCAGTTTTTGTAGTATAAAAAGAGCCAAATTTTAATAGTAATATTTTTTTAAATAATGAAAGATAAAATATTGTTCTCTCCTCATAAAATAATATTTATCTCGCCTTTAAAAAAATCAAAACCTGGGAATAAAGCAAAATTCAATAAAATCAACAGCGCGAGTAAAACAAGAGTAAAAGAAAGAATAAAAAAATTCAGATTGAACGATTGTTTTACTAACTGAATTCGAACAGTTGAACAGTTAGAGGCACCAGTTGGGCAGGGGTGGAAGAAGAGGAATGCCCCCCTCCCCCTCCCCCATTGGAGTGGTTTGAAGAGAGACTGTCACTGTACTTGTTCACACTCGTCACTTCAGGTGGCAACATCAAAATCACACTCACATCCGAGTTGACCTCTGCAACAGAAACAGACAGAGAGATAATCAGCCGAGGTTCAAATTAGCCGAATAAATACTACTGGCTCTTCTATGGTTGACACCATCCGATATAAAATTTTAAAGAGATTGACTGCGAAGTCAAAATGAGTTTGCAACTGGTTAATTAACCCACATGTCAATTTTTAAGACCGTTTTCTTGGGCTACGTGAGACAAAATTTAAGAATATAAAAAGTCGCAGCTGAGGGTGAGTAGGTGGGGGGGGGGCTGAAATTAATCACCGAGGGCCGTTTTTAGATATTTTTAATTTGCATCGATTTCACACCTCCTATCAATTTTTAGCATATATTGTACACGAAGTTCTGGTTGTTTAAAGGTAAAATCAAAACAGCGTCCCTGTTTGTTAGTGAGTATCCAAGTATCTGACCTATGATTTCATCCTTGTATATTCTATATCCATTGTCATCTTTAATGGCCAGTTTCTTGAACAACTTCCCGGCCGCTATCGCCAGACTCCTTCTGAAGTTGGCCTGACTCATTGTGAGGCCATAGCTGGCACTACTTGGGGCCATAGCCGAGGTATGTATGGCCTGTTGTTGTTGTTGTTGTGATATTGCATTGTGACTGCCACTTGAGGTCATCATGCCCGATGAAGAGGGATTTGAGCTGCTTTTGGATAAGTTGGACGGATTCTCTGAGGAACTGTTCTGGATCGGCATGTTGCTAAAAAAGACAACAACTTTATAGACAAAAATTTCTAGTGTTGAACAGCTTATCTTTGTAATGCAAAAGGAGGGCTTACAAATTTTGTTTAAAAATGAATAAAGATTTCTAAACTTTTTACGATTTACTACTAGCTTTTCCAGAATTTAATGAAAAACGCCAATTTTTTTTTGCATGAATTGGAAAAACACCAGGGATTTTTGAGTAATAATATTTTTTACCAGCTGTTAGATTTGTAACAGTGGTTGCTTGGTACCTTATTTTGTTGTTCTGATCTTTTTTGCGAGTTAATTGAAATTTTCATTTGTCGGTCTCTCGTTTTGTGTAACAACTTCTATTTGAATTAACGCTAATTTTTGGTTTTAAAAGAAAGCGGATTTTATTGACCAACCATACAGACCACAGTAGCGATTTAATACTTTCCTTTTAAAAAATCTCAGTTTTGTAAATGTTTTATCGTTATATAACATTTTTCTATCGTTGCGTAACTGTGTTTCATCGTTGTATTTTTTTTTCAAAGTTTTGTAATATTTTTAAAATCGTTTTTCTAACTTTTTCATATTTCGTACCATTTTTCTATCGTTATCTATTATTTTAATATTTTTGCCGTCTTTATGTAATTTTTCCATTGTTATGCAACCTTTTCATCGTTATGTAACCTTTCCATCAAAATTTACTGTTTTTTTTAATCATGTAATTTTTTTTTTTCATTATTATGTAAGATTGTTCATAATGTATGGGATGGGTTATTACCTGTTGTAAATCCAAGCCCACTCCTCTCTGCTCACATGTGCATTCTCTCTCATCCTCACACATGTGCTCATGTTGGGACAGTGGTAGGGCACTTGTACATTCAGAGTGTTGATGCTGGACTCCGCCTTCACTAGTGTCAAGTAGAGGCCTGGTTTCAGAGAGGTCTCTTGGTTCTGGTGGAAGCGGATCAACTCCTATCAACATACCAGTCGTTTTGCAACTATTTTCGAAACTAGTTTTGGGCTTTTTTCAGTTCCCCCCCCCTTAACATTGCAATATGACAATAAAATTTGGCGTGGTGAACAAATCGACAATTGTCAATTGTTAACAGATTTGTTTTTCATACTTTACAGCGTAACATCACGCATTTAGCCGTAATAACACGTAACACAAACATAAAACTCAGTATTTTGAAAGGGGGGACTGGAAAAGAGCTTAGTTTTGCATTAAATGGCCGAAGCCGATTCCATAAACAGCTCTTTCCTCTACCCCCCCCCCTACACACCTGCGAAATTTAAGTAGTAAACTTACTATTCACATTGTCAGATTGTTACAAAAATTGGCCTGCAGACTAATTAGACCTATAAACAGCCTATAAAACTTATCATCAAGTTTCTGCGACGAAACGGAAAAAGTCAAAGCAATTTTAAATTATCACAGACATTGCTTATGTTTCATTAAGGCATCAGAGAGTTTTCCTGGTTTTGCTAAAAGCAGATTAAATACAACAAAGCAATTTGGAATCATTGATCTTTTTTGGAATCATTGATCATTTTTGGAATCATTGATCATTTTTTGAATCATTGATCATTTTTGGAAGCTTTGATCGTTTTTGGAATCATTGATCATTTTTGGAATCATTGATCATTTTTGGAAGCTTTGATCGTTTTTGGAATCATTGATCATTTTTGGAATCATTGATCATTTTTGGAAGCTTTGATAGTTTTTGGAATCATTGATCATTTAGAAAGGGAACAGATCCTAAAGAGTATGTCATCAACGGTCTGCGATGAAACTCGTAGTTAATATTAATTACATAAGACTACCAAACCTAGTATCATGAGAAATCAAGAGTAGAAAAAAACTGTTAGTCTAAAACACGCTCTTTGATCTTTACATCAGCGAGAAAAAAAAACACGACTCGTACTAAATATCGCAGATATTTATATTGAAATGACGAAAGCAAATGGTTAAATTCACTACACAAACCTCTAAATCCAGAAACAGCATATCCAGAGCAGAGAAATCATCCAGAAGTGAAGATGAGAAATTGGCGGCAACATTGGAAGAAGCGTTGATACTGCCTTGACCCCCACTGAGAGAACTGGTCTCGCCCCCTGCCCCCATGCTGAGGGAGAGGTCTAGCTTGGGCTTCCTCTTGCCCACCACTTTGCTAAGGGGGGACCTTGGACATTTGTTGTCGGGGAGCTAAAATAAAAAAAAAGTCTAGTTTTAAACATTTTTTTTTTAATTTTTTGCCCTTTTTTTGCTTTTATATTTTTTATTGTGGGAGGGAAAGTGGAAAAGAGTAAAAACGATGACTCACATGTCCTATGAGTACGAATATCATGTTTCCGTGGTTGTCTCGCAACACCCTGTGGTAGACCCTTCCCACATCCCGCCAGGAGAGGAGGGACTGGAGACTGAACACCGCCTGGACCAGTTTGGCCCTAAAGGAGATGGAGGTGTTGGATGACGTCACACTCAGCTCCTGACACACAGTCGCCATGTCATCCCACACCACCGACAGCTGAAATAGCAGAAAAATTAATAATGAGTTTCTATCACTGTTTTCAAATTTAAATTTCTTTTTGTAATTTTAAACAACGAACAAAAAAATGTTGAACGAGTTGAAAAATTGCAAAAAAAAATGTTTTTTAAATCTAACTGATAAAAAACAGCAGTTATCAAAATTAAGTAATCTTTCTGCCATTTTATTGACCTTTCCTGAGCAGATTTTTGATGCAAAAAAAATGGTCGCCCATAAAATGGTTTCAAAGTACGCTCATTCAAATCTTTACTTTCTAATAAATAATAATAAGAGTTTCCAGTATAGGTGCATTTTCACAAAATACTTTTTATGATTGTCATAAAAGAACCCAATCTGAGAAGTCGTCATGGGACAAGTGATTCAGATTGTTGTCAGATATTCAGACGGCTGTTTTTTACTAACTAACCTTGAGGAACCAGTGGAAGTCCTGGGAGATGTTGGCCGGCGTCCCCTCGTCCACCTCCACAGTGGGGATGACGTCATCACTCGTTACCACCACCCGATCATCAGGTGTGTACAGAGCACACGACAGATACACGCCCCTGTAAAAACACTGCAATGTTGCGCAATCCCATAACAAATTGCGTAATAATCCAATGATAATTGCGCAATCCAATGACAAATTGCTTAATAATCCAATGATAATTGCGCAATCCAATGACAAATTGCGTAATAAACCAATGATAGTTGCGCAATCCAACGAAAAATTGTGGACTGAAATGATCTTAGGGGGAAAAGGGAAGTGGCTAAGTTTCCTCTTGTCAATCGACAGGTCGGAGGTTCGAAGCCCACTATGATTCGAGCTAGCTGTTTGAGGGCGAGGCAATAAATTCAGCTCAGAAAGAAAAAGTTGGATGTAATCCACAACCGCCTCAAAACTTGCTTTTTTAGGAAGTTGCAACACAATTTAAACGGGATGCGACAAATTTTTGATGTTAACAGCATATGGCGATTAATTTGGAGGGAAGACTCAACTATTTCTATATAAAAGACATACTTAAAGACTTGGACTGCGATTCTAATCTTGTGCTTCCAGAATATTCACGGATGGCCTTGTGATGAGCCGGAGAAGCACAACAGTGCCAAAGTACATCAGTTCCAAAAGTCGAAAAACTGTTTTTAATACTGTTTTTACTCATCGCAAATCAATGAAAAGTAAATAAAATCAAATGGTGGGAAGTTGAAAATACAAAAATTGCCATTTAAATTAATACTGCTTGTTAAACAAATGATGGCATCCCTCATGTTGGAGGGACCGCTAATTGGAATGTTTTTCAGTTTTTTCAGCCAGGGGCGGATTTAGAGGGGGGGGCGGACGCCCCCCCCCCCCCCCCCCTCAGGGATTCGACCCCCTGCCGACCCAAAGGGTCCCCCTTTGATACTTTTTCAGAAATCCATTTTTGGCGGACCGACCCTAAAATTTTTCTAAAGGCGCCTTCGGCGCCAATATATACTAACTTTGAGGGGGAGCGCGCGCCAAAAAAAACGCAATTTTTTTGTCAAAATTTTTCAAAAAGTGCCCAAAAACGGCTTTTTTGACTGTGAGAGCTCGAAAAATCAATTTGGTCGACCTAAAAAAAAAAAAAGGTCGTCAAAATTTTGGAAAATTTTTCGAAAATCCGCCCCCCCTCGAGAAAATCCTAGATCCGCCCCTGTTTTCAGCCATTAAAATTGAATATTCAAAATTCTCAAAGAAATCGCAAAATTTCAATTTAGGCAAATACCAAATAAATTCAGGCCATCAAAACTAAAATTGACCGATTGCAGAATAAGCACAAAAACAGAAAAATCATTTATCAAACAGTGTCAGAACTAAAACAAATCGGAAAAAAACTTATTAATAAACGAATACCGATTTTAGAAAATTGAAAAACAAAAAAAGTATATTCCATATCTGCACTAATTGTACAGACAAATTTGTCTTTAAATCAGTTTCTCCTAATTTTGGCTTCAATTTTGAGCAAAACAAAAACGTTCGCTTCAGCGAATAGGAACGACTAACGATTCTAACTGGTTGAAAAATTTCAATCATTGGGTCCCCCCATCATGGAAATAGTCTTTGACCCCAATTTTTGTATCCTAACATACAAAATTTGGGGTACTCTCATGATGGAAGAATCGAATGACGGAAAACTATAAAACCAATCAGAATTGTTGTCTATTGGCCAAATGAATTCAGCACGAAACCGAAGTCATTATTAACAGAAAATGAATTAAAGCAGTTCAGCGAAGTTTAATTTCGCAGCGCAATCCGTGCAAATAAACATTTTTTTTGTTATATTTTTTATTTTAAAAAAAGGTTATAATTTTTCCAATACCCGACTTCGATTTCGCAATTTATGAAGAAAAAAAAATTCACACCGGTTAATATTAGTTTGAATGGCCTGAAATTGTTCGCTCTTTTTGAGAATTTTGAATACTCAATTCAGATTGGTTAAAATTAACTGAAAAAAAATTCCAGCTTTCGGTCCCCCCATTTTACGGCTTCATAAAATTTTCTGAATATATAATTAACTCAGAAATATCACAATTTTTCTCTCGGTTTCTCTCAAAAACAAATACTATTCACACAAAACTGCCAAAAATTCCTTCAAAATTCCCAAATATCAGTTTTCGAGACTTTTGAACACATTTTTAGTTTCGGCACTGTTGAACTCCAGTGAGCCACAAACTTGAAGTTCAATATTAAGCGAGAAACCAAAGAATGTTCCGAAACACCGCGAAGTTTATTTTTGAGAAGTTTAAGAATGCAACAGCACATCTGGAAAATCCGCAGTTTGTTGAACGCCCATTATTTGTTTTAACCATAAGTTGAAAAACACAAGTATATTGGACGTCTACGAACTTTGGTTTTGGCTATTACATCCCACTTCGCGGGAAAATCAACCCAGAATACGGTAAAAAAAATCTTGTGACCTTTTTACTTATTAACTGGGCAAATAGCCAGTCTTATTTTCAATTTCGGCTCAAGTTTCAATTTCAAAGCAAATTCTGCTCGGCCATGCAAATACCTTTATATATAAATTGGTTATCAAAAGAGTCCCAGCTCCATGGTTAAGGCATATAACCCCAATTCTGTTCCGCACCTTAGCTTTCATGTACCCTCCATGTTACCATAGCAGGGTTTTCAACCTGGTCACAAATCCACAAGATATCAACAGACAAAACAGCCTTTTCTGACGCTAATTGTTTTCATGCCCAAAAACTGTTGGATTTTCGAGAACATTATGTTTGCTTTCACAACCTTCACCCTGACTGAATATTGTCGAAATATTTAAATAAACTCTCGAAATTCGGAAGTCAAAACAGACTTTGCTTTTGTTAATCAGTAGCGACGTTTCAAAAGAACCTCAAAGAGGAAAATTCTCGAAGACTTGAAATGGTTCACCAATACCTTATTTATGGTGTGTGTCATAAATTTTCAAAGCAAACTAACCGCTATTGCTTCGCTTGCGCTTAACAAGGTCTATTTCTTCAAAGAAAATTAAAAAATGCCAATTTTTTCAAGGTTCGAGATTTTTGGGATTTTTTTTCCATTCGAAATTTTTCAGTTTGTTGACTCTGAGGCCTCATGTTTTAAAATTAATCAATAAAAGCACATTTTTGACTTATGTGGCTTATGTATGTGCTTAAATCTCAGCTATTTGTCTCCATAAAAATGATGCACAAAATCAAATTCAAAATGAAGTGCAAAGATGAACTCCTTTTTTTCATTTTGCAAAACAAAAAGAAACAATATAGTACTTAAGCTCTTGAAGTTCTTAAGATTTTTTTAAGTAGAATCTGCAAAAGTCAGTCAGTAGAAGTGCTCAATTACACGACAGCCATTGTTTTTTTTTTAAATTTTGAAATTTGAAAATAGTTTTTTACCGCCATTTTCTGTTAACGGAGTGTTTCCCTGTTCTTCCTTTTAAAATTAATTTGAAGCGAATCAAGTTATTTTCCTTGAGTTTTTTAGTACCACATTGCTAATCAAATTTTCAAAAAGTCAAAAAAAAATCGGCAAAAATTTTGAGAAATTTCAAAAAGTTTTTCTTACACTTTTTGTTTTTCTGGTTAATTTTCTGCAAAAACTGTTTTCCAATTGACCTAGTTTACTGTGAAGACTATGGTGGGAACTTTTTTTGCTACTGGCACAGTAACCGTCTATCTTTGTTTTAAATAGATTTGATACAATTTGGGGCATAAAAAGGATTTAATTTGAGGCTGCCCCTCCACATTTTTTTTTCGTCTTTTTATACTTTATATTAGCAGTTATTTAAACCAAATTTGTGCATTTTTCTACCTAATTCTTGAAAAAAAAGTAAATATTGGACAATTTTCGTTGTTTCATTCAAGTTCGGTTGAGATGCCTGTAAATTGTGTTGGAGTGTCAAACGAAATTCATTCATACAAAATATCAATTTCGAGCAGGAGGAATTATTAAGACTTTTCTTTATAAAATAACAACCCAGCAGTAAGCCTCGTGACCTATATGTAACAAAATTCAGTTTGCTCATTGGCAATTTAAAAATTGAGGATTAAATTGAGTTTTGTTCATACTACACAAACATAGATCTGTAAATTAACTTTTCTTATTTCTAACATTCAACTCCAGTTCAAAGACGTTCAAAATTGGAATCTGTTTCTTCCCTGATTTTAGGGGGGCGTTCAATAGTGCCGAAGTACAACAGTGCCGAAAAAGGCGGGAATATTTCAGAATAACTTAAACGCATTTTCTAAAGAGCGGGAAATTACTGACGCTAATCATCAAGGAAAAACACTCCAATTTTGGCGCCAAAATGTCGGGGAGGGTTCTCATGCTTGACGGAACGAATGCTTGAAAAATTTCAACCAATCAAAATCGCTACGCGTTTTTTTGGCTAAATGCCTTTCTCACAAATTTGAAGTCAATATTAACTGAAAATGTAATCAGTGGAAAATAATCAAAATATTACAAATTGCGGGATACAACCTCATTACTTTTCAGATAACCATCAAGATTAATGAGTTCAAAATCATAAGAATTTTTCAGTCCTGAAAACTTATCTGCTTATTATCTAATCGGTCAATATTAACTTTAATGGCCTGGATTTGTTTTCTTACTTTAGAGATTTTCGCGATGTACTTTGAGATTTTGAATACTCAATTCTGATTGGCTGAAAGTAAGCTAAAATTAATTTCAAGCATTCGGTTCTTCAAATATGAGGGACGCCACCCAAAATATCTGCAACTGCAAGTTTAACAATTAGTTTGGATGTCTAAATTGCAAATTTTCTCGCGCAAAATCTTAAAGCTTCACTTAAGATTGTAAACCTTCGCCGTTTAATTTCTGATTGCCGCACTTAATATGTTGAAATTTGTTCATTTTTTCGGTACTGTTGAACAAAGTTTTCGTTTTCGGCACTGTTGAACTATTTTTTTGACACTGTTGTACTTCGGCACTGCCCCGATTTTAGTTTGGTTTTTGAAAACAGGAACGTTGTCCATGAAGCGGACTGGTCACGTTGAGCTGCCTTGAAAAGCAGACAAAACCATTTATGCCAAATACTTTTGCGACCTCAGCAAAAGACCCTGATTTTTAAATGACGAAGGTAGTTGCAAAACTAATAAGATGCCCCGATCTATCAAATGTTAAGTTGTTAAGTTTTTAACACTTGAAAACCCCATGAGTTTGAAAGGTCAATTTTAACAAGACATGAAAAAAGGGAATTAATGAAGTCTTATCTAGAGGTAGGTGCAGATTTGTCTCGGCCATATACCTCATTAATAAATCGACCTGAATCTTTTCCTCTTCTGTCCGTTGAGTTTGAACCATTTTTTCATTTTTTTCAGTATAATTAAATTTTTTTTATAAACAAAATCTTTTTTGCATTTTCCTGTTTCAGAATTAAGAGAATTTTTTTTGCCATTTTTTTTATTATTTAAGACAGTTGTTCAGCCATTTATTGCTCACCAAATTTATTTACCCATTTCTCTTTAAGAAATGTGTTTCCATTCTGTAACCAATTTTTGTCAACAATAACTCAGATCTAAGATTTAAACAGGAATCTAAGAAAAACAAGAAACGCTTTAAGAAAGCACTTATTTATCACAGTAAATAAGGAATCTACTGGAAAAAAAACTAACTATGATTTTCAAAAACAGCAGACAAGACTAGATATAGCGTGCTTCAATGGCAGTTCTTTAAAACACGAATGATGGTTTTACGCAGCCAAGAAATCGGACTCAAAACGTTTGCAGTAAACTAGAAAAATACCAGCAGTAGTAAATGTTAAAATAATTTTAGATGTTTTATCTGCATCAAAAAATGAAATTTATATCAAATTTGTGCCAAACAATATTGGTGCATCGTGTTGATACAAAAAAAAAGTTTTTTTTTTTTTAAATTTTAACATGGATCAAAGTTTAACTTACTTTGTGAGACTTTTTGAGAACTTTGGATGAGTGGGCATTAGGTGTTTGAGGTTGCGTTGCTTGGATGGGGACCCGTTGTCTTGCTGTTGTAAGTTGAGACCCAGACAGGCGTATTTGACTTGTTCATACATCAAAGACAACTCTGTCACTTTCTTTCCACTACATCTTCGCTCTTTGTTGCAGATGTCTCGCCAATCTAAAAAATATATAATATCAATTCGGCTCACTAATGAGCAACAATAAAAACAAGATGTTTAATTCCCTAAAATACCGATGGAAGCCGTAAGAAGCTCTTAAAAATTCATCATACTTTCGGAAACGGCATGAAAATTTGTTCTTTATTTTTATTCATTTAAATTTTAAGGTACCCATCTTTTTTAGATGTCTAGCAACAATATTTACAACTGAAAAACGTGTATTCGTCATTATCAGCTGGAATTTGAAGCAATCTCACTTTAGGAATGTTTTTTAACTCTTTTCATATTGTCAGATTATTTCCATAACCATTCCATATGATTTAAAAATTTCTAGACTATTGCCAGCTAGCTTACGAACTTCCCAAATTTCTCCCCCAAGTTTTTCGATAAATCCATATTCGATATAAAAATTTCCAACATATACGATTCACCAGGTCGAAGACAACATATTTTGGGCCCAAGTGAACTATCATAAATGAGCTGATTAATATTTTCTTAAAGATAAAAACTAAAATTTTTTCAAGTTGAAATTTAAAAAAAAGAATCTGACTTACTGCTTGGTGTAGCAGAAGGCGGTGTCGCCAGTTGTGCCGGTCCGAAGCCTTTGATGTTGGCGGCCGACACCCGCACGAATATTTCGACCCCCGGGGTCAGCCCCCGAATCACGAAGTCGAGTTCTCTCAAGTCTAACAACACATGCTCGCCCTCAACCGAATCGAACAAAGCCGACTTACTCCAGGCGACTAAAAAACATGAATTAATATTTTATAATCGAAGCGTTTTTCTCACCATATTTAGTTTTGTTTTCATAAAGAAAACGTTCAAATCTGATTTGAAAGATCTGAATTACAAAGAGTTTTGCAAAAATCGCCAAATTAGCAATTTAACAATGGTAATATAATTATATTTTCGTCAATTGATATGCACATTTAAATAGCAAAGAAAGACAGAGCCAAAGCTATGAAACCGTGAAAAACACCGCCTCTTTTTTTAATGAACAAAAACATAAATGATGGCGCTAATGCTTAGAAAATATAGCTTATTTGGCTTAATTTGAAAACTAATTTTTCCAACTATCAAAAATTCTTTTCACACCGCGCCTCAGATCAAAGGATAAAATACGCCGATGGTGCTCTCTTAACTTGGAAAAGGCCAAAAAAGTACCTTTCAAAAGATTAATGACAGTCTTTGTTCCGAACACACTCGAAAGAAAGGAATGAACTATGGCAAAAGGAGACTTTTTTGCGACCGATTATGGTTACTCCAAAATGCAGATGAAACTTCTTTCAGTTATAATGCGGTTCTAAATAAGATTTTTTAATGTTTCATAGGAAAACTAGTCAAATAATTTTTCTGTTCACGCCAGTTACGTTTAGCCACGAACAGTTACTATTGCTTGATTTGTATAAAAGCTTACTTTAAAAATGTTTACAAGAAGCAGGTTTATTTACAGGTTTAAAAAAACGCTATCATATCCAGGGAAAATTCTGAAAAAAAACTGCTTAAAAAGTATAATTTTTCTTCATTTTCTTGTAAAATTGAAAATAATGTGATTCCTGCGAATCACAGAAGAGCTATCAGATATCAGAAGGCCTTAACAGGCCTTTCGAAGAATACGATAGCCCATTTGTATTATCTCTCCACATTCTAAACTTTTGTATTATATTGATTGACGCTCTTTTCTTGCGACTCAAGGCTTTTGTTTGCGTGTGGACCTTTCACGTGGTACCATTATTGTAGCCGAAATTGGTCAGGATGTGGTAGTATTGAAGCTAGAGGTCAAGTGAGAGCTCGTCCTCGCACATTATCATTTACATGGCAGGGGATCGAATACACGATCTGACGATTTCAAAGTGAACGAGTTAACACTATGCTAAAGGCCTCTTTTTTAAGTGCCTCTCTGCTGAAACTTGAAACAGCTGCGTGCACTCACTTTTTTTTCAAAAGCGAAATTACAATGAAATTATAGCAAAAAAAAACGTTTTTAATATTTTACAAAAATAACAACTTATAAATTAAAGTATATTTTTTTCATTGTCCCACAAAAAGGCAGTTTCTAAATAATACAGTTTCAGTCTGCTAACGCATCGCACAGGCAAACTGGCTTTACCCAATTAAAGTTTGAATTACTTTTGAGCTGGAATAGTTCACCTCAAAAAGTTGTACACAGAAAAAATTAACAACAACACGCTCAATTTGACAAAATTAGCAAGAAAAACTAAATAGAAAATTAAGAAAGAAGTTAAATGTGTTGCAAAAATCAATCAAAAACTTATTTCGGTCATCAGAGAAAAAGCAACGCCTTTAAAAATAATTTTAGGTAGACTGTTGAACTTTGGCGTCATAAAATAATAACAAAGACGTACGCAATGGGTAGTCAGTGATTTCAATTGCTCAAAGTTTTCGCCCTGCTTTTTTGGACCAGTTTCTTAAAACGATTTTGTCTTATTTTAGCATAAAAACGACTACAATGAGAAAAAATTGGATAATCCCTCACCATCTGACCATTTTTAAAGTAAAATTTGTTGGAAATCAACTGCTGAAGTGTAAAGTTTTTTGGGTCGTATTTTTTGTCCTATACTTGATTATGAGATTCTAACACAACAGAATCAACTATGATACACAACGCTTATCTCAATACTCTTCAGGTGATCATTCGTAATGTGTTATTTCGTTACAAGCAAAAAAAATAACAGAAGATTGAGAGGCAAATTTTGAATCAAGAGCACTATTCCTCTCACGCCGAGTGTAAGCGCAGCCAATGCATTTTTGTTATATTTCGTCGCCAGTTACTAATTGTTGCCTTTTACAAAATTTTGCCGATTAATAATTATCGCCAACCCAAAACTTCATCGGAGAATAACTTGTCTAATCAATGTAAGCATTGTATTCAGTCTTTTTGTAAATATTGTTTGAAATTTATAAATTCAGAAAAAGCATCAACAAAATTTTACGGCTAGTGACTAGGAATAAAAACAACTACTAATCGCAAGCAGTGCAGAGCGAGTCAGGTTCTAAAAGTAATAGTATTGACATGTTATGATACCTTATTAAAATCTCGAAGCTTTCGAGAAACAAAACCATTAGTTCGTCCATTAACCAAGTCTTTTGCTCAAAACGAAGATTTTCGTTCTACACTAATTTTTAGTCTAAACAGCAAAGGCGTCTCAACATTCAAAAAGTTTTCCCAAAAACACTTTTTGAGAATCCGAATCATAATTGATCAGGGCTTTAAATCTTTAACCTATTTGACCCATTGTTTTTAATGTATCTGATTTTATGTCAAAAAAATTTTCCCTCCTAGGCCGTAGTTTCTTTCCATTGTTTCAAGTGCCCGAAAAAAAATAGAATTAATAAGGAATTACTTAGGCGTAGAAAACTTGCTCGGTTTAATTTTTTTTCTCGTTAGCAAAGGCTTTCGATTTTCTTTGAGAATTTCTAATATAAATTACAAAAATGATTTTGTTCTCGATTTTACTTTACTTGGTTTCTTTCAGACTCGGATCCTCAGTTAAAAAAAAACTCCTAGAAGTCACTTGCTCCTTAAGAGGGATAACAAGAACAACTTTAGGAAGAAACTTTTGGACAAAAATTATGATAATAAATTGATCTTTGTCTAACTTACTTTTGTATCTTGTGACCAGAGATCCATTTGTAGTTTTTGGCGCTGTGAAACTGACTCTAACAGAAGTTGAACTTGTAACTGATATTTCAATTTTGGTCGGAGGATCCGGCGCTCTCGCCAGTTCAAAACAAGCCTTCATTTTAGCCAGAAGGCGCTGTCTCCATTCCCAAAAACGAAGTTCAGTCTCTTTTGGCAATCCGGACACTGATGATTTTTGGCTAGCGTTCGCGGAAGAGCTTTGGGCCGCAGTTACTAAGGCAGGGAGTAAAACGTGGATCTGTGCGTCACAACGTTTAAGTAGATGGTTGACGTGTTGTATTCGTAGCTCTTTGACCATAACTGAAACAAGTATTCAACTTTGAAAACAAATCATGATTGTAAAGATTAATTTTGAATGTAAAACATAAACTTTGATTCGAAGTGAAAAACGATCAATGTCAAATTCGATCCTCAGTTCTTCGAAAAAAAATTTAAAGTAACACTTTTTACAAGAACTTAAGTAAGATTCATGCAGCGTAGCCATTCAAAATGACATTCAAATCAATTATTCTCCTAAGAATTATTAAGAATAAATTAAGAACAATTCTGCCAACTGTTTTCCAAATTTAGATATCTGAATCGGTGTTTGCTAAATAGCTTACATTTTGGATTTTCCTTGGCACCATGTTTTAGCAATTCTGCAGCCATGAGGTCGAAATTGAGCAAAGTTGCCAAGTCAAGAACTGTGAAATCGTCTTCATTCGGCCTGAAAAAAAAAAAGAATTGCTCGACCAAAAAATTTTGAGATTTTTTTGACCAAACTCATAACCATGAGGTAAAACATTAGTGTGTAATTTGAATGTAATTACACACTTATGGTTTGAAAACAACAATAAAAGTGCCTTATGTTTCTATCTTTTCCAAGGATATAACTTAAGTTATAACAAGTTATTGCTGCTCCACATACTTTAGTGTTGTCATGTCAAAAAAATGCAAGAATGGAAAGCAGTTTGAAACGATGACTCACGCATTGAGGTCTCTCACCCCGACGTTGAGCAAGTCGGTCACTTTGTCCAAGTTGCACACCTCGACCGCCTCGAATAAACTGATCACTGAAAAAAAAGAATAACCAGTTTGTATTTTCGATCAATTACTTTTGTTGAAATGGGTTCAATTTCAAAATGAAGATAATAACGTTTTCCAGGTTAAGTTTCAAAGAAGGAATACGACACCGCGGCGACCCAAAAATTCCTCCAGTATAGGATAATTAAGATCTCTAGGAAAGTCCTGAAAGTTCAATTTGGCTTTTAAAAAAAGTTTAAAAAAGCCCAATCCTCGACAAAATTATGGATCCCTCACTGGTCGAAACAGGTATCAATAAACATCCGACCAATATATGATCAAACCCAATTTTTATTTGACCAAAAAACTTCTTCGCACACATGATAAAATGTGTTCCAACTTAATTGGTCTTTTAATTCGAGTTTTTCTCTCAAAAATGACTTACTGTTGTCCTCCATGTTGGCTTTGCTCTGCTTGCGGGATGCTTTAGTCGAGGGCACCACAAGAGAGGACTGAGCCAGACCCTGGCCCACTTTGTGTTTCACAGTCGAGGAGTTCACTCCTCCCACTCCCCCCAGAATGCCGGAGCCCTGGAAGTTGTCCGAGCTAAGAGACTTCTTCACCGATCTGCTGAAACCACACCCAAAAATATCGAAAAAAGACAAATAAAAAAAAGTTTCAAAAAACATACACTTAATGAACTGAACTGAATTTAAATGAAAAAAAAAAACTGCAAAAAATTGATATTTTTGAAAATCATTCACATTTTCTCAAAACAAAACACCGCCAGTAGGTTTTTTCAGGACCAGGTCTGGGGTTCGAACCCTCGGCCTGTTGATCAGTCTGGGGAATAGAAAACTTACGCCGAGTCGGTCATCTCATTCTCGCTGTAGTTAGACGCGGTCCCACTCGGGTGGTTTCGGAGAGCCGAGAACGGTCGGCGCATCAGGTTTCCAGTCGAACCTTGTCTGTAAACAACAACAACAACCACAAGTTAAAGTATGTAATCAAAAAGACTGAAGAGAATAAAATTGTATATGAGAACAATGAAACCTCGAATTAAATATACATCTTGCTGTTGTTATTGATGAAACTATCTAGTAATTCGTAATCTTTGCAGAAAAAAACTCAGTGACTGAATCTGAATTAAGTTATAATGACAAAAATAACACACCATGACCAGTATGAAAAACGTCAATAATGACGGATGACAATGAAAGTTAGACGCGATTCAAAATTTAACTTCTATATTTGTTCAGCTAAATGATTTCGACCAGGGTGATCACAGCAAAAAGGTATTCGAAACAGTATCATATTTGAGCAATCATTAGTTAGTACCTAATGAGTAATTTTGAAAAAAATGAGTGTGATAATTTTTTTGACACTTGTCAGGTTGAATGGTAATTCAGCTTAAATTAAAAATCATTATCGGATCTCTTTAACTATATCCCCCCCCCCCCTCGGGTACCTAGTAACGAGTATCCCGCTATAAAGAAATAAATCAACGGTAAATCATATGAGAATCTGCCCCCCATTTGAAAAAGGGGGGATGTAGTTACAGAGATCCTCATTATCTATAATAAAGAGAGCCAAAAAATCGAATTTTTCGTTTCTACTTTTTAAGTGGCTAGGAATAGCGTGAACTAACTGTAGAGTGTAGTAAAACAACTGCTGGTTTAAAATTAGACTATGAGTTAAGTTTTTATGCAAGTTCAAATGCGGACAAAAATGATACCATAAGACTTAGTAAAAAAATCACATATGTCGCAATTTCGATCAATTCTTTGTTGTTAAATATTAAATAATTGAAAAGAAACACTTGTTTTTTTAAAAAATGGCGAAATGAAACTCAATTGAAAAGCCGATTCCGTGATTGAATGAACATTGAAAGTAAACATTGAAAGAATCTGAACAAACCTGTATTTTAAAATCGGACTATATTTGGTAAATTTGATGAAAAAATTAAGTACGAATAGAGCGAAATTAATGAAAAAAAAACATTACCTAACAAAATTGCAGTAGTTGTGCTAAAGAATTAGACAAATTCGGTTACCAAATTTGGTCACCTAGACTTTTAGTTATCCAAATGTATTCTTTCCCAGAAGAATTACAGAGATAAACAAAGTGTAATGTTAGTTTATCAATATTCAAGTCGAGGGGTAGGTCTCTCAAAGCCTAGAATAAAGTTGTTATTGTTAGACTGCTAAGAACTAGGATCACGCGATTAGTATTCTTGAGACGTCCCGGCAAACTCCAATTCCTTTTCCCAAATCCTATAAATTGGTCTACCCGACGTATTTATAGCACTAAACTGGAACTTATGTTGACAAAGACACTTTCAAGTTCTAAACGCGCTCTTAGAAGACAGAATTTCTTGACACAGTTTCGCAGAACCGTAATGGCTTCCAATTTGAGACCTAGACGCTTTGGGCTTCTTTTCTCCAGACTTTTATGGGGCCAAAGAAAAACAACAATTTGAGGGCAACTGCAAATATTTTGAAAAAATGTGATCTTAATTTTGAAAGAACTTATTTTCAAATGAGAAATTGTCGTAGGTCTCATTCCAACAATATTTGTGCTAGATACTTGGGCTTTTTGAAACAAACAGATAATAATTTGCATTTTTAATTGTTTAAAAAAACAATAATTAATTGTTGAGCAAAAACAAACCACACTGCTCGTATTAAGGCGAAACCTCTAAGGTCAACCAACGGAGAATTCGTTAAAACTGTTGTTTCTTCCCGGGTCGAAAACTCGGTATGTTTCACACGTCTCGGCTGAATTCGGGTTTTTTTCGAGCGTCTCAGTCAAATTTGGGTGCTCGACTCAAGCGAGTCACATATGTTTTGACCAGGCCAAACTCCGCGTGTTTCAAATTTTGGTATGTTTTGACCGTATCGGCAAAATCTGTTGTTTTTCTTGTCTGTGGTTTGTTTAGACCGTGCTCCAGGTATGTTTCGACTGTGCTCAAAGTATTTTTCGACCGTGCTCGAGACATATTTTGACCGTGCTCGTGTTGTGTTATCTTTCGAATTTTTGCCCAAATTTATTTTAAAAAAATTTGCAAAAAACTCTTTAATACGACGAACTAGCAAAAAATCGCGCGTTATTTATCCAAAATAAAATTATAACAGTAAAATAAGGTCAATCAAAAGGTGTTTAAGCTCGAATGCTTTCAACATGGTAAAAATGCCCACAGGTGAAATAAATTTTTAATATTGAAGCTTAACTATGATTAATATCTTTTAAACTATATACGGAAAAAAAATCCGTCAAAAACTGCTAGCTGAAAAATTGAGTCTTGTATGGAGAAAATTTTGTCTATTTTTTGGAAAACCGCATCAAAACTGAAAGCGCAACTTTCAAATTTGAGTTATTATATTTTTGTAAAAAGCTCTAAGCATCAACCTTTAACTTTTTTTCGCTGTTCCGACTATTGAAAACATTCTTCTAGTAATTTTATACCAAAACTGTTATCCAATTTGCTTATTTAACTATGAATGTCGAATACGCCTAATTTCTAATTTTTCGTTCAGCTGCTTTTATCATACCACGCTAATTGTGTTTTTTAAGTCTATGGTTAGAACCTTCTATGCTTCTTGCAGAGTAGCCAACTATCCTTGTTTCTATCTTTCTTTTATTGCCGCGATTTTTGAGTTAAAAATATGGTCTCATACCACGAAAAAAAACACTAAATTTATCGACAAAATAAGCAGATACTTTGCGCGCCAACAACTGAACTGTGTAGTTGCTGCAAGTACCAAAAATTTTTTGAATATCTTGATATTTTGATAACAGAAAGACGTTCATTGAATATTAGATTTATCAGTTCGTTAACCAAAGTAACGGCATCTTTAAGCTCAAAGTAGTTTTTTAAAAAACAATTTTGAAAGGTAGATTTTGACTTGATTTTCAAACGTCAATTCAAAATTGTTGTTGTCAAAAGTTGACATTACAAAATATATTTCACCATTTTAATAGTTATATGGAATGAAATTTACCAATTGTGTAAATTTTTTAGCTTAAGTATGCGCACCTCGGTCCTCCTGCAAAATATATTGTAATGAATATAGTTTTGAGCCGGATTCAGTTTACGCTTTAATAGCACGCGATGTAAAATCTTCGTTGTTTATCCGGAAGTTAACCAAACTGGCGATTTTCATACCCTCGATAAATTTAAGAGAAACTGTCAAAGGTGAAACACCAATTAAATTTGAGCGCATAACATCAATAGTTTTCAGACGGCACAAAAAGTTTGTCAAAATGGCTGGTTGAACTTCGGTATGTTTTGAGTCGAAATTCAGAACTAATACAAAAATTTTGCCATTAGTTATGTTGTTTTTCGACTCGGTCCACACACAAAATAAGTCACTGTTAAATATAACTGTCGTAAAAAGTGGGGTAAGATATCACAGTAAAGACTTTCACTTGAGAAAGTTTCACGGTTGTATTAATTTTTGAAAGCACTGAAGATTTTCATTTGAGAAAGTTTTACGGTTTGATTAATTAAAACTGAAAATTTCACGGTTGGACTAATTGAAGAAAACCATTTATATCATCGAAGTTTTTTTCATTTCATGGTCACAGTTAAATATAGTAGTATAAAATATTTCAAAGATTCGACACCTTTTTCCACATCTTAAGGTTAAATCTTTAATAATCCCATCACCTAAGTTTTCAAATGACTCAAATCGTTAACGGCTGTGCACCGCCAAATCTTTGAAGTCTTCTAAAAAAAATGAAAGTTTTTTATTATCGTAAAATATTTAGCGTTTAATTTAAAAAGCAATCGAGCCCTAAACTTGATTTAGGGTTTAACCTTCAAAGATACCGAAATTGTCATTTTTTTGAGATTTGAACAGATTTACTAAAGATTCAAACGATTCAAATCCCTGTAGTCCGATATGCCTCACAGATGCTGATTCGCTTATCTCAATTGGCCTATTGACGTGATGTGATAATGATGATGATGATATTTTTAGCTATGGTATTCACTCTCTTAGTGATGGAAGTCAGGGGCGGATCTAGGAATTTCTCGAGAGGGGAGGGGCGAACTTTCAAAAATTTTCCAAAATTTTGTCGACATTTTTTAGGTAGGCGAAATTGATTTTCCGAGCTATCCCAATGCACTAAAAAGACCCTGTTTTGGCCAAAGTTTCTGCGCCGCAGGCACAATATTGAAAAAAAAACAGGTCAAAATTGGCTGTTTTAGGTATTTTTGGAAAGTTTTGACCAAAAAATTGCCTTTTTTTCGGCGCGCGCTCCACCCTCAAATTAGTATATATTGGCGCCAAAGGTGCCTTTAAAAAATTTTAGGGTGCGTCAGCCAAAAATGGATATCTCAAAATAGTACAAAGGGGGTCGGCAGGGGGTCAAACTCTTAAAAAGAAGTGTCCGCCCCGCCCCGCCCCGCCCCCCTGAATCCGCCCCTGATAGAAGTTATGAAGTTATAAATGTAGATTTTCATGCTGTAAATCCATGATTTTTTTCTATTTATTTTCCTTACGAGTCGTTATTATTTGCAGGCTGGACAGCACTGAACGAGAAACACGAAGGGCTAAAAAATTAATTGATTAACTTAAAATTATTGAAAAAAAAACTATTTCTAACCTTTTGCCATTATCATCTTTGACTTGTCGGCTGCAATAATTCATATTGGTGATAAATTGACGATTTTCGTTGTTCGCACAGTGAACCACCGATTTTTTCAGAGTGGGAATAATACATGCTGCGCAAGACGACGCCATTATTACTTTGAGTTGTAATCGAAGAGCCGGTAATAAAAAATAATGAGCAAAATAATTAACTCAACTCAACTTTAAAAAAGTCATAAAACTGTTGCTATTGAATAAATCGCTTGTACAAACACAGCAGTAATCTCTCGAAACAATTCACATTTTTTCAGTCTTGGTTAGCCAGTTATTTTTTGATACCTTTCGGAAAATTAAGATTTAATAGAGCTATTAATTTTTTCAGATACAGTTGAATAAAGTACTGACAAAGTATACTGTTATAACTTCATTTGATAAACAATAATTTAATTAAATTTGATGAGTTGTTGAGAGCAATAACTATATTACCACTCAAATTTTTAACCAACTGCAGTTTAAGTCATGTTTTTTGGTTGTTTGATGCAAACTTAGTTGAACTTTTAAAAGCCATCAAAAATCGCATGATAAATTAAAAACTATTGTAAAAAAGTTCACTTTGCACGCGGAAAAATAAACAAAAATCAACTCAAAAGTTCAACTCGAAAACTCTTTTGTGGTCAAAATTTCATTAATTTTTGACACCAAGTTTGATTTAATTAAAAATTTTACGACTTATTATTAGATTCGTTAGCAATTTTGGTTTGATCTGTGGATAGCTTCAAAAACGTGAATCAGGCGCGAAAAAAAACGAATCTCAAAAAAATGCGAAAATTCTCTATTTTTGGTCTGATTTTTGAATAAAATTTAGTCTCTATACGGTATTTAAACATGGGATGTTCTCAGATGATAAAATCAGACGACTCAAATTTACGTCGGTAATAGTTTTGAGGCGCAATTTCTGATTTTCGAATTGAGAAAATAACGAAATTACTGTTTAAAAATGTTTGACAAAACTCATAAATGAAGCTTAAAAATTGCGTTACTTGAAACAATTGCAGCTCATATTATATCTCTCAATTCCTATTTAGAGAAAATAATGTGGAAAAAAATTTTCCCGACAAGTGAGTTGTGCTGTTGAAACAAGTCTCAAAAAAGCTTCAAAAAATTTTAACCTATTCCGCCAATTATTGGAAAAAGACGGTAAAATGTTGAAGAACACTTTGATCTGATACCAAAAGCAGAAATTTAAAGCCGACTGGTATGGCCATAATTCGATATCCAAAAATGATACCTTTTTAAAAATCTCAAGTTTAAAATTTTGTAAGATTTAAATGATACTTTTTTGGACCAAGTTAACATCCTCCCATTTAAAGCGAATAAGCGTGGAGAATTAGAGGTTTTTAGAGTTTAAGTTGCAGTTATCAGCCAATCAGAATTGAATACTGGTTACGAGCACTAATCAGGTTCAATGATCACTAATCACTAGAGGGGATTCAGACCTTAACTTGGTCTAATTAAGGGCAGGATGTTCCATAGGGGAACTTGGTCCATTCCGAATAAAAACTCACCTTTTGAAGTTTTCGCCATTCTGACCATTAGTTGCCGAATTAATCCGACCGCCAGAGAGTTTGTTGAAATTTAACGAAGATATGAATGAAGGCATTGCCACGTTGAAGATACTGTTCTCGGCTTCGGAGAAGTCCGTCTCGTCGTAGTTGTCGGTCCCGCGTTGTTCCGTGTCGGTAAGCGATCGTTTGCTATCGGGAACTGACGCGCGTCGGCTTTCTGTCCCGCCGTCAGCAATTCCCGAGTTCTCAGAGACGACTCCGAGCATCTGATTTTTGTCGTTGCGTCGCTTACCACCTGTCAAAATAAAACGAGGACTTCAAAATTACCTGCCATGTTTAATTTTGAGTATACTTACAAATCATTTATATAAAAATAGAGTACAGATTGACGCAATTTCAGACAAAATTAGCCTCAACTTTCAATTTTTCTTGTATAAAGTAAACAAAACGAAGAAAAATAAATTATATTTAGCAAGAACCCCAAAATGAAAAATCTTTTGACTACAATTTTCACAAAATTTTAGAGAACGCTGAGATTTCTACGAGTATCTGAACCACGAACCAAATAATTGTAGTACAAAACTACAATCGAGTAAAAAGATTTTTCATCGAGGTACGCAAAATCATGAATAAATCGATCGAGTCCATAATTCTTTTGAGAATACTCGGAAAAAAGTTTTTTTGATTCACCGCAAGCCGATAATCAATTGAAAAAAAATTAAGGAACCCTTTTAGTCAACAAAAGACAGAAGAATCTTTTTGATTCAATTTATAATTTTGTCGGTTGAAATAGTTAAGTATTGCTTTTAAACCTGCTGTTCCACTTATCACTTCGGCGATATTGCCAGCCGAAATATAATTATAGTCGTTTTCCACTGGGCGAACACGCGGCAAGCTACCACCCCCCGAATTGGCGCTCAAAAGCTGGGATAAACTGCTACAGGAAGGCCCGTTATATAGCACCACGTGACAGTTTTTCCTCCGAGGCGGCGGAGTTGCTGTAGTCCAGCAGCACCCCGCGTGAGGACGGAGCCTCGGGGGCAAATCCGAACTGGACGGTAAAGCGAGAGGAAACGATAAACACGAACTACTACATGGACCCGACGAGAAACCCGAGGAGCAGCCTCGGATTTTGGAACTCGGCGACGAAGTTGACGATGAAGTGCTTTCGCGTTGCATCCGAGTCGTCGGGAAAAGGCAGTCCGAAATCGCCGAGAAGGTCCGAGGGGTAGCTGGGGTTGTAAAGACATCGTCGGAACAGCACGAATTTGAAATACTGTCACAGTTAAAAGCTGAAGTCGACATTCTCTGTTGAAGTGGCGGCAAAAATGTTTCAGAATTTTGAGTCAAAATGTAAGTTCCCGCGACGTTTCTAAGAAGAAAAACAGTCAAGTTCTAAGCCACCGAAGGTGCGCTTGTGAGAGTTAAAAGTGGGATTGAAGCTTTCAGCGGTGGCAGAGGATTTGAGGCCGACGAAAAGTTGAGTTTTGAAAGTAGTGTTCGAGATTAGTTCTGGTCTTTTCACGGAATTAGAGGAATCAAGAATTGTTAGTGAAGGCAACAGGAATGGTAATAATTTGGGTTTAACTTTTGTTTGACTTTCTGCTCCATGAAGTAATATCTAGATTGTTTTTACTCAAAATAATTGAATAATGCAAACCAGTTTGTGTATGTTTTATTAGCCCACATCTGGTGATTTAACCTGTGTTATAACCAATGCTAGTAATAATGGTGAGCAGGGTGCCTCTAAATCTAAATCAGATGAAACTCCTCGCATTGTTTACAAACATTGGGAAAAGTTGGAGGAAATTTTGTCGCTAATGAGAGAAACGTTTAGTCGCTAATTGATATACAATTTGTCGAACTCAGTTGCTCAAATAAGACCAAGTCTAAAACTAAGCAATTTTAACGAATGTTTCCGCGATTTAACAACGAGATATAAATCTTCGAAATTGGTTCTCAAACTAGTTTTACTCCGAAATGGAAATTCTGATAAAATTTGTTTGGAGTCAAAACTCAAATAAAAGCTGGGCGACCGTTTTGCTCCATTTAACATGTCAAGATCTGCTTATTACTATTAAATAAAGCAACCCGCGGGTTTAAATGAGCACAGATAGAGTGTGAAATATTTTTGTAATCAATTTGACCCGCTTTTCAAAGCATGCCTGTGTGAAGTGGTTAAAAGAGACCCACCCCTTTTTCTCAAAACAAACATAAGTTCTAAAACAAGATTTTTACAAACTTTCTCACAAACTGGAGTTATTAAGTTTCACAAAGAGATGTCATTATATGATAAAACACCACCCCTCTCCGGGATTCGAACCCATGACCACCCAATGAATCCCCCGTTTTGATACCATTTTAAGAATTTTGCCTGCGGCGATGAAAAAATTGACAAAAGGGTGGCTTGGTAGAGCTGGGAAAAACAATTTGGTCGACCTAAAAGAGTTTCCACATATTTCTTCATTTTTTGCCTCTAAGAATAAAAGAATCCAATTCTCTTGTGCAACCAGCATTGCTAAAGTGTCTAAAATGAGAAGAATTGACGGAGAAAGCCGCAGTAGTTTTCCTTTAAGGTAAACCTCAAATTCATTGCTCAAACTTTTATTTTGCGGTAAATTCAAAGAAGTCTTGTTTAATCAAGAAAACAACTTTCATACTCAATATAAGTCAACAATTCACCCTCCAAAAAATAGGTGAAATTCGGCACTTGAAACAGATTCGAAGAAACGAAAAACGATCCAACAATGCATAAACTACTCGATTCGGTTCCAATGATTATTCAAATAATCCCGATTAAACTTGGGTTTCCAAGCCCAAAGATAATCATATGTCCCGCCGTGACAGGAGTTTACAGACATAACTTGAAGTTGTAGTCAAATCAAATAGCTGATCAGTACATGCAGACCTACTAAGAACTAGTTTGCTAGCCTAAACATTAAATTTTTATGGTCAATTTTCTTTTGCTGAGTTGACCATTTGAGGAATGGGGGTTTATGGACCAGCTTTGGGTCGGTTGCCAACAAGTCGTGGCTATTTTTATTACAGTTCTGAGGTGGCATCCAATATGTTTACTTTCAACAACTCTTCAACAAAATTGGTTGTCAATATCTCCCCCTTTAAAAAAAAAATTTTTAAATATATTTCCAGTTCAATTTGAAGCCAAATCAAAAACTTGAATTGAACCATTTCATATTATCAGCTTCTGCGAAACAGTTTGCCTTATTTGAATACAATTAAAGCAGCCATAAAAAAGTTCTGGAAAAAAGATGAGTGTTTTCAAACTCTCGTTTGCTTATTCTGTGCAGTTTCCTCTGTTGGTTGCGTCGACGGAAGAGAGGCAAAAACAAATAAACTATCCCAAGCTGGATCAGTCAAAAATTACAGAAAACATGACGATGAAGGAAATATCAGAAGTGTATTTAAAAACGCTCGAAGAAACTGGCAAGATTTGCCGGCAGAATGAAACGGAGACGTACGACTGCAACGACGATAAAAGAATGCTTCTTATGGATAACACCAGTCACGTTTTCACTGAAAGTTTTTTCCGAAATAGCACGGAAAATTATTCAAACCAAAAAGTGTCCGAATGATGCCGACCTTTGCGATCTGATGCCAGACGACGCTTTTAATACCACTAAATGCGGGCGGTTGCCTTGGAAGTTTAATAGGCACTTTAAACCGTTCAATGTAAACCTAACTGTGACAGACTTGGTGGATCGAATTTGGAGCCATCTCCAAGACGAAAGAGATTTCTGTGAAGATAACGACTGCAGTCAATTTGAGATGAGTTGTCACATGCACAATACTTTCTGGTTGAATTTCATCGCAGGAGCATCAGCTTCGACAACAGAAGCATTAGCTAAATGTGTTTGGACTTTAAAGCTGTGTGAAGTTCCCTCTATCGCTTACGACTACTTCTGGTGAACAAATACGAATACTACAACTACATTTAAACCAAAAACAGCAACATCATCAACAACAAAAAGATCAATATCAACAAACAACAATTACAACCAGGGTTGGGAAGTTTTTTAACATTCAGTTTTAACTTTAAGTTTTATTGATGTTTTCTACCAGTAATGTTAGCTATATCTTAGAAGAGTATTTCTTAGGAAAAGACTACAAGACTTCGCATTTAATTGTTTTGCTGATTTAATATGTTGCCGGTGGCCGAATGGGTTTCAACCCCAAGTTGATGAAACTGGCTTTTAACTTCCTCCGGACTTGAGCGATGCTTCCAGAGCCCAACTTGGTGTCGAGAAGCTGGAAAACTGACATTTCACTTCAATAAAATTAATGCTTCTTAGTGTTGAAATTTTTAACCATTTAACATAAACATTATGTTTATTTTTCCAATAGTTAACTGTTAGTTTTATTGTTTTGAAAAAAATGTACCATGGGCCAACCCTGATTGCAACAGATGAATAAAAAAAAATCTCAGAAATTTTAACAAAAATTCGGAGTGGCAATCCAAAAACTGGAAACTACAAATAAGTTTGAGTTGTTCTGTACATAAAACTGTCTGGTTATTTGTGTTATTTGTGTTAAATACTGAATATAAATGAAGCTGCCGCAGACTGTTTTGAGCATTTATTCAAAAATTTATCTACTTTAAAAAAATTTTCTCATTGTTCTTATTTCAGAAATTCAGATTTTTTCCACCGTTTTACGTAAAAAAATTATGTAGAAAAAATTTCCGAGAAAGAAGGTTCCGAAAATTAAACATGCTATAGTAATCTGAATGTGAAAATAGTCTGAAATTACTTTCGGCGTTTAATCATTTTTGCCCAACGGTTGATGTAATATGACGCTGAAAACCCGACATGCCATAAGTCAAAACCTTTCGAATTTTATAAAAATTCATTGAAAAAATTTTAAAATAGGAGTTGATTTTTTACAAAGATTTTTGAAAAACCAAAAAAAAATTGTATTGAAAATGAAGGAATGATTCAATAATACTGTTTGAGGAGCCGAAAACCAGGCCTAAAAACTAGCCCAGTGAACGCGGTATGCTCAAACGCAGAAGCGAAACGGTTAACAAAATGAGACAATAACGCTAAAACAAATAAAGTTTGATATAAAATCTAAAAAGTCTAATAAGGATTAAGGCGTTTGTCTTGAGACGTATGAGATAACCTAAGGAAAACAATTTAATTAAACAACTGCCATTCTTGTCAAAGCAACTGAAAAAAAACCTTACGATGACAACACTGGAGCAGAAACCAGTTGGGTAAAACAGTGTTATAAACACACTGGAGCAGAAACCTGGAGCAGACCTGGAGCAGACCTGGAGAATCCTGGCCATTTTGAGCTCCTTACTCCTGAGCGCATAGAAGATTGAAGCTACTTTCAAACAAAACAATATGAGCAGACTTAAGCAATAAATTACTAGCCGATTTGGTTAAAAAAACAAATTTAGGCAGCAAAAGAAAAAGCAATATAAATAAAAAACAATTGGTAATTTTGCGACCAATTTAAATATAATTCTATTGAAACCTTTCTCAAAACGCAGACATACTACATGCATGTTCATTACAGAAAACATCAATGAATCGTTCGAATGCTTAAAAATATTTCAATAAACAAGTAACCATTATGAAAATTTTATTCTTCCGTATTAATAGCAAACGTACACAATAAATAATGCAAATCACAGACATCTCAGCCTATTTGAACTTTTGACTTTCCAATTGAAGTTTATACTTATTCCGATTCTTCTTCGCCAAATTTGATGAGTATGGCCACAATCGTTTTTTAGCTCCAAAAGCACTTATTTTTTTTTGATAAACAGCCATTGATTGATTTTTGGAATTATCAGATAATTCAATCGGAATATGGCAAAGAAAATCAACTGGATAACAAATGATTGAGTTTCCCAAACAAAAATAATTTATTGTCGAAATAACGTTTAACGATTTGCCTTGCAATTAAGCAACAATTTTTTAGCGAAAGGCTAGATTTTGTGTATTGATGGATAATGCAAATATCCATTTCCACAAATTTTAGGCTTTTTGTCAGTTTTTTAAACAAAAATTAAATTTAATTTTTAATTCATTCATTTAATAAATGGCCCAAGTAGCTCATTTTAACTTACGCTGTCGTTTTTTTTGCAGATAACATTCAACATTGTAACTTGCCATTTTTGACAGTTTTTTTATCAAAATTTTTTTATACCCGTTTGAATTTATAATGACGTTTGAAGCTCAAAGCTGAAGTAAAATTTATTCTGCGACCGATTCCCAATAGTTTAGGGTATTGAATTTTGAACTACTGGGACCACAAAAACTCAAATTGGGATAGTTCACGATCAATAAATTTTGGCCTATCAAATCGTGAAGGTCCAGGCTGCAAAATGAATTATCCAAAATCGGACTGAGGCAAGGAACTTGCTTTCACAATTATTTTGCCAGACTCAAATTTTTCACTTCGTACTTCACATATCGATTGAACAAGCTAATTGCCTCGTTTCAATTTGGATTTTTGGATTCTTACGATTTAATTGGTTGAAAAAGTTCAGCCATCACATTTTGTCTAGAGATAATAACGATGAAGGTATAGAAAATTTAAAAAAGCCGTTCTCAAATATATCAGAAAGAGAGAGAGAGAGAGAGACAGAGAGAGCGAGAGAGGGAGAGAGATAGATAGAGAGAAAGAGTCAAAACAACACTCATGAGATACAACTGAGCAATAACTACCAGAAAAATTCGAAGTAATACCAAAAACTAGGCTATTTTTTTTGCGTACATTAGGTCACAAGTAGTTGATATTGGAGGTGATCAGGGAGATGCATTGTGGACCCCATGTTTTAAGATACGTTAAAAAAATTTGCGTGGACAGGATTTCTTTAACGTTTCTTAAAACATGGGGTAAACCATTTCATTTGAGTTTGAAAACTTGCTCAAATTGCAAATAATACTTAGGGTCTGACAAAAACAAAACTTGAGAATGTATCATTTTAATTCTGAAAAATACTTGGTTGTAACGGATTTTTTTTTGGA